CCTGCCGCGGGTGCTAAGAGTGTGTTGCAGGTATGGGGAGGTCGTCAACATTAACTTGGTGCGGGACAAGAAGACCGGAAAGTCCAAAGGCTTTTGCTTTCTGTGCTATGAGGACCAGAGGAGCACCATTCTCGCTGTTGACAACTTCAATGGGATCAAGGTGAGTGAAGCAGCCTGGGAGGCGGGCCTGTCTGCCTGCTGTGGCTCCTGAGGTGCTGCTGCATGTCAAACAGGAGCCCTGACAGCACGGGTTACATGGGGAGCTGGTCTGTGCCTTTGCTAACAGCGTGACTCCTCTCGTAGATCAAAGGAAGGACGATTCGAGTGGACCACGTGGCCAACTATCGGCCCCCCAAAGAGTCGGATGACCTAGATGATGTCACAAAAACCCTCCATGCAAAGGGCTGTGGAGTTAAAACACCACCTCATACGTCATCTGATTCTCTGTCGGAAGATGATGATGTGCCTGTGAAAAAGCAGAAAGGTGAGGTGTGTTCCTGCCAGTCTTGACCCGAGGTGGCAGTGTCTGCACAGAGCCTGTGGCCCCTATGCTCAGGGGAGCACCAAGGACGGGTGTGCTCTTGAAGAGAGCCACAGCCATAATGCTCAGGCTTTACTCTGTGATCTTCTGAGGGGTATCTGAGTGCCTGTATTTAGCCCTTACCTGGGAATGTCCTCCCCCAGCTGCTGAAGAGCTGTATCTTGCAGACAATAATACCACTTTTCCTGAAAAAAGTCTGCCAGGCTGCAGGGTTACTGCAGGGGGAAGCAGTGCTAGGGGGAGGGGGAAGGCTTCGGAAAAGCACCATTTTGTCTTAAAATCTGAGTGCTGCTACTGTAGGACTAGATTGCTGTAGATGTATGGAATGACTGTTCTGTGGCCTACGCAAGATAGCTGAATTGAGTAGAACGTAAACCCTGTGGATCTAGATGAGATTCTGTGGCTGGAAACTGAAGCCAAAGAAGGTAGGGGTGGTGGGACTAGGTGACCTTTAAAGGTCCCTTCCAACCCCAACTATTCTATGGTTCTATGGAAATAGACCTAAAAGTGCAGCTTAAGTTAAACCATCCGAGTGCCTCAATACCTCCTGTTCTCAGTGGACGCAGCAGGATTTATACTCTACATCTTCCAGAAGAAAACAGAAAAGTGTAGAGTATATGCAAATCAAACTTGAACAAGTGTGCCGTGTAAAGGACCAGCCTGTGCAGCTATATGGACGGATTTTTAAGAAGCCCTTAAGGCTTTTTCCATCTGTGCAGCAGAGATCTTGAAAAGTTACCCTTGTGAGAGCCAGCAGAGTGCTAGCAGCAGTGTTTTGCAGTAGGAGCTGCTTGCTGTAGGTTGCTAATGACTTCCAGGCGGCATCCACCTGAGATGGGTTGTGGTGACAGTGGGGTGGGATGGGGGTGTCCGTCATTCTGAAATGGGCTTGGAGCATGGCATACAGAGGAACCTTTCCTCACGCAGCCAGTCCCTGCCTGTGGCAGACAGGTATTAGCAGCAGGTATTTGGGACCATCTTGTAGCTACAGCTGAGCCTTTGCACTATTGGGATTTGAGACGTGTCTACTGCACGCCCGCTTCAAGAGAGGAGCTCAGCGCTGTGTTGCATGGAGGAGGGCGCAGGGTGGATGGGGCCTTAGCGTGGGGCAGAGGGGCACGTCGATCAGGCTGGAGTCCTAGTTTGAGAGGAGGGTTGGAAGAAAGAAAATAGGCAATAAAACTAAGGGTGGGGACAAGATGCTGCTCCAGCGTGCTGAGGAGATGCCCAAAAATCAGAGAGGCGAAGGAGAACAAAGAGGGAAAAGAATCATTGGGTCTGGAGAGGGCGAAGAGGGAAAAGAATTATTTGGTCTGGAGAAGAAAATTTCCACAGAGTGTATCATGGTTTTCTTACTGTGTGGATGTTACTGAGGAAAGGAAATGGAAGGAAGGCGCTCAATATTCCAAGCGGTGTTAAAGTGCCTGAGGACAGCTGTGCTGGGAAGGACATGAGTGTTAAAGAAGGAAGTAGGATGGCTTAAGCTGGAGGAGAAGTGTTGGGGATGGAAATGGAATAAGATCTCTCTGAGGGGGGAAACAGGCTGTGAAGCTTGGGTGGAGGGGTGACAACTTGAAATGGGAGGGGAGTTGGGAAGGCGCCGTGGTGCTATGCAGCGCCTGGGGAATGGAGGGGATACTTGGAAGACTGTCTGTCCTGAAAGATGAACCTTGTGTTTCAGATAAGGAGAAAAGTAGACAGGAGCGGCAGAAGCAGAGCTCGCAGGCTGCCAAGAGGGCTGTGTCCGCAGAGGATGCACACCCCAGAATCAAGATTAAGAAGGAGAAGGAGGACCCTGCCTACGAGCGCTACGCCAGTGGGAGCCAGCAGCCCTGGAAGGGCTCCGAGAGGAAGCCTGTGAGCAGGACACAGCGGGAAGAGGACGAGCGGAGGCACCAGAGACCTTCGGAGAGAAGAGGGGAAAAGAGCTGTCAGGACCAGAGGGGACAAAGTGGTTTGTGGGACGAGAGGGAGAGGAGAGAAGAGGCTGGCAGGAGGAGGGATGGGCACAGCAGCCGGCGAGAAGAGTGTCCCGAGGGAGGCAGGTCGCGGGAGCGCTGGGAGCGGGGCTCTGGGAGAAGCTCCATCCGCTGCTGAGCCCTGGGACCAGCACGCTGGGGGCCGAGAGAGGCCCCGAGCCTGCCCAAAAACTGCTCTGAACCTCCCCAGGCCTCTCAAGGCGGGAGTACCATGGCTGGACTGTTCGCCCCCAACATCTTCCACAATTTCTCGTTCCAAGGACGGAATGAGGAACGGTGCTGCGGACCGGGACACGAGTTCTGTTGCCTCCTTCAGCCCTTCTTGCGGGCTCCCAGGTGTGCCGGCACGCTGCGCTGTGGCACGAAGATGGTGTCTGGGAGCATCGGGATGCTCTCCGTCCCCCAAAATGACTCCATTCCCACCTCACCAGCCCTGGTGGGGGTTTTTGCCCCTGTGTTTTATGCAGCGGGGAGACGCCGGTGGGCGTTTTGCCTTGGCCCCAGTGCTTCTGTGGTGCATCCCCGGAGCTGCGTGGGCGCTTGGTTTGTTTTAAATGCTTCTTAATAAAAAAATTCACCTGTTCGCCCGTAGCGTTTTTTTATCTAGTGGTGATGGGAAGGGGGGCGATGGGGAGGGACGGTTTTTTGCGTGGTTGTGATGAGAAATAACACCTGAAATGGGTTTGGGTTGTCAGCAAAGGGGGATTTTTACCCCCTGAGCAGCTGGGACCGGGCCCCGAAGGCTTTCAGCCTTCGGG